TTTTTTTTTTTTTTTTTTTTTTTTTTTTTTTTTTTTTTTTAAGTGTGTCTTTGTGAAGGGCCCGCAGCGATGGAACCAGGGTACTTGAGGCATCCACAATGCTGCCGGCTGAATGCTTATTTCATTTTCTGAACAAAAAAATGCAAATGCGGCGTTACCCGCCTCTCAGAGTCCACCTCCACCCCTCCAGAGCCGCTTCGCACTGCTTCGTTTTATCACGACGGCCGAGCCGCTCCGTCTCCATCACGGAAATGAAATAGTTTGTTTTTAAATTAAACGGTGAATGCTGACTTGAATTGGGTTAATTAGTCGCCATGTTCGGGGGTTTTTGGCTTCTAAACAATGAAACTGGAGGATTTTCTGCAGTTCAACTCGGATGATGTGAATCTGAAGTGTTTCTTCTTTTTATTTTATTATGACCCAGTTGAGTTTTTAAAGGAAACCCACATGTTAAAGTTTAATGTATTAAGCGTCAGTTTTAGAGGTTTAAGTCTTATTTTACTTCCTAAACGCATCTTTTTTCACACTAGTGGAAAGAAATCATCCAAAACACACATTTGGGTGTTTATTTTACTACTTTGTCTGTTTGTGTCTGTAGATTTCTGCTAAATCAACCAGAAGTTATCATTAGATAATGCCTCATTTGCATATTTAAACATAACATTCACAGAAAAACTTCATTACAAGAAATAATGTTCTTAAATGAAGTAATCGACTTTGGAAGTTTCACATTTTTTCACCTGTATTATCGCCCATTAAAATAGGTTAAACTCGGGACAGATTGCCATCCTCTCGTCCAAAAACTTCAAACCGCTCGTGAACATGTTGTCTTTTGTCCTCCGTAGAATCCAGGCACAACAGTTTACTGGGAGCGCCTCCTTCCTACCAGCAGTCCCAGTACCCAAGGTGAGTCGGGCCGGTTTGTCTGCTTCGTGAGAAAATCAATGTTGTTTTCTGGTTAGTCGCTGGAAGTTCATGGTTAGCATGCTGGACGTTACAACTCTTCATCTACAGAAAGAAAAAGTAAAGAGACATATTTTTTCATCCGTCTAACTCAGATAGGGTTTAATCTTTGTTACTTTGTCAGCCAAGGTCTTCATCGACCCCGCCATTGAAAGTTGGTTTCATTTTGTGTCTATTTTTGATGTAATTTAACCTTTTCCTCAAACTTCCCTGTGTTGTTGTACACTCAGTGAACTGAAGGTGTCTGTTTTTTCCAGCCTTCCTCCGTCGGGGGTTTCTTTTTTTCTCCGTCGCTCTAAAACAAATTTCTCTGGAGGAGGTTTGTGCAGCTTAATGAGGCATCACTAATGCTGCTGGTTGATTCTGGCTCCAGACCTTCCTCCTCTCACAAGTTCCTAATCAGGTTCTATCAGTTCAACTTTTCAGGCCCATTGTGGCTCCGAGTCACCTCGGGTCAGTAGTTATTAAGCAGCGGCTGAAGAAACAGTTTCTTTAAACTACTCGGGAACCGGACCAAATAAATGAAATGCAGGGGAGGAACTTTAGAGGAGAGGGGATTACCGGTTTAGTCCGGCTCTGGTCCCGAGTGTGACATGGTTCAGTAATGAGGGATGGGGGGGGGGGGGGCTCCGAGTTCCTTCTCTTCTTCTTTTGTTCCTGAGACTTTTAATATCACTGTTGCTTTGACGCATTGTCAGGCGCCGTGTTTTTTTGTTTTTTTTTGCCGACTCTTCGCTCGGTCCCACGGACGGATCCGCTCCGTATGTGAATCCGCTCCGTTTCATACTCGGCTCGTTCACGTTAAGTCGTCGGAGAGGAGAGCAGCTTCTCGTCTCCGTCCGGAGGTAAACGCCCGGCCGATGGGGGCTTTAGGGAGGTCAAAGGTCGCCTTGCCTCAGAAGGTCCAGCATGTTTATCTGCGGGATGGACGTTCATCATCTCAACTCCAGCAGTCCTGTTTTATTTATTAGAAAGTTCAACATAACTTCTGATCCATTTAAACTGTATTTTATTTATTTATTTGTTTTTGTTTATAAGAGCTGCAGCTCATGATTAATAATGAATGAATCTGCTGATTAAACTTCATAAAAGAGAGAAAAGAAATGACCTCTTTAAGCAGCAAAGTCCAAAAACCCAGAAAGATATTCATTTACGATATGAAAGTGAGACGCTCCAAACAGAATAATCGAGGCTCCGATTAATCAATTATCTATAATAGTTGCTGGTTATCGTTCTGTTGACCAACAAACCCTTTCATCTTTAGATCTTTTGTTTCTACTTATTAAATACTGACGGTCGTTTTATTACATGAACCAGACGTTCAGGTGTTCTATTATCACTAATATAGATTAAAGACTAAGTCGAGCTTTTGATTGATGACACTTCAAACCAAACCTCTTAATCCACGTTGGATTAAACGCTCTGATGACGTCACTGTTAGATTAAAAGCTTCTTTAGATAAATAAGATCAATCTGATATAATGAAGTTATTTTGTGATTCTTAACCGAAGATGAAGCATCGACAGATTCTGGGATGTTTGAATTTCCGCTTCTCCTTCTTCCTCGTCTTCTTCTTCCTCCTCCTTTTCTTCTTCTTCTTCCTCCTCCTTTTCTTCTTCTTGTTCTTCCTCCTCGAAGGTCTTTACATCCTCTTCTCTCATTATATCTGTATTGATTACAGATGATGCTATCAGTGTATTAAACAGTTTTTGATAATTAACAGTATATTAATCAGTGTATTAAACGGTTTTT